TGGCCTTAGACTAAGAATAGCTAAGAGCATTGTTATAATCTGGCCTTAGATTAAGAATAATTTAAGAGCACTATTGAAATAGTATCTGAATTGAATAAAATGTATTGATATGAACTGAACAATACCAAAACTGTGAATGTCTGAAATGAACATTGTGTGCATGATATCAAATGATTTGATTATGAATTTAGATTCAGTTTATATGGAAGTTCGACGCATTAGATATGCTTACTCAGCTTTACCGCTGAGCGTGTAGTGTGTTTTATTTGCTACACGCAGGTAAGCAGAAAGTAGAATGTGATCCTGGCGGCAGATGGGGCGAGATTGTCGGGATGGATGTGACAAGTTTTGAAACAATTTATGATATTTCAAAATTAAATTCGCTTCCGCAATATTGTTGAATACTCCGTACTGTATATGTTATGAAAAATATTATTGGGATTAATAAAGTGTGTTTGAAAAGTTTTAAATTTTTACGATTACCAAGTTAAATACTTTAGTCTGAATGGGCCTGCAGACCTGGACGGATTAGGGTGTTACATGAATTCTTAAAGATAGTGAATGAACTTAATACCCCTACCAAACCAAAACCTGGTGTTGTTATCGAGGACCTTGATGATGAAAGTCCACCTGTTACCCATCCATTAAAACCTAAAAAAAAGGGAAGGTGGTAGTTCATTAAGAAGAGTGTTGGCCATTTGCCAGGCAGAATCTGAGGGGATTTTACATGAGGAAGACAACGGTGAACCATCATCAGTGATTGGGGATGAACCATCACCTGTTGATTTACAACAAGAGGACAAGAGTGAACCAACCGTGGTTGAAGAGAACAAGAGTGATCCACAAGAGGACAAGAGTGAACCACCAGTACTTGAAGAGGACAAGAGTGAACCACCAGTGGTTGAAGATGAAAGAGTGAATGAAAACTGGGGCTTTGCTTCTGATAATGGGTGGCAGAGTGTGTCAATGAATATAAATATAGATGATATGGCAAACTTGTCTTTAAATGGGAATTGAGACTTTGTTTATGATGACTGGACTATGGCTCCTGAAACTGTCAACAACACCAATGGAGATGGCCAAATGGGTGATGATTTTGTTGAGGATGGTGATGATGAAGGGGGTTCTGAAACTGAGAGTGAACATGCTGTTGACAATGGTGATGATGAAGGGGGTTCTGAGTCTGAGAATGAAGATGTTGTTGATGAAGGAGGTTCCAAGATAACGGGTCAACACGTAGGAGCTGAAGGTGAACATGTAGATGATGATTTATATGATGATGACTACATGGTGGAGGTTGGTGATGAGGATTATATAGAGAATGCAGAACAGTTCAATTTTTTTCAGAGAAGGGCATAAAAGTAATAGAAGGCCAAAAAAATCCTGACCAAAGTGGGCATGTAAGAAATTTAGGTTTTGTGGTTGGGAGTGATTCATCAGACTATGGTGATTCAGAAGAACTACACACAGAATCTGACAGTGAAAATGGAGGTGGGGAGAGATATCCTTCATTTGATGCAAAATTGGACATTGGTAAAGGCAAATTCAAGGTGGGAATGTTGTTTAAGAATGTGGATAAGTTTAAAATGGCAGTGAGGGAATTTGAAGCTAGGTATAGATGGCAGATCATATTACCAACAAACTGCAGAACTAAGGTTTTGGCAAAGTGTTCTAATGGATGTGGGTTTAGGATTTTGCTTCTAAATTTCACCCCAAGGACCCACATGACCCTACTTTTCAGATTAAGAGTGGCTATTTTGAGCACAAGTGCAAGAAAGTTCATGAGAATTATCATTGCACTGCTCAGTGGATAGCTAACAAGTACTTGGAGGACTTTAGAGTTAACCCAAATTGGGAATTGAAACACCTAATTGCAAGAGTGGTTGCTGACTTTCATTACAACATCAACTACCTTAAGGCTTGGAGAGCAAAGAGTAAAGCTCTAAAATTAATACATGGGGATGAAAGCAGTCACTTCCAAAAGTTGTCTGACTATAGGCT